TATAAACTATCCTGCGTCAATGTTAGTTTAATTAAGAATTTTGCGTTCAAACTTTGATCAGTTCTTTTACTGCTTTTCAACCCTTTCGCATACATTTGAATTATATTTATTTTTAATTATGTAAATAACTATGCCATAAATTATTATTAGTATATATTATTATGTGAACCTGTATCTATTTATTATTGATATAAGTTTTAAAATACGTAGCATGCGGCATGCTACTTTGGTGTGAAGACTCTCTTACGATAAAGATTTGATGACACAGCCGTTGAGACAGACGGACAAAGGGGCCTAAATAGCGCATTCTTTTTGGAAATGCACTAAAAAAAGTGTGAAGGTCTCCAATGTTTTGAAAATGTTGAAATTGTGTGGAAATTTTGGATATGTGCAAAACATTTTGGGATATGTTGGAAAACTTGGGAACTGCGTATTCAGGGTGTTCCTAAATATTATGAACTTAATCAGAACGAGGAAAGGATTCTACAGTTTAAGAGAAACGCGAGGAGAAACGGAAACAAAATTTTTATGAATAGGTATGATTGTTTCCGGTCCAGGTAAAGCATTTCTGAAACATTTTCTGCAGCATTTTCAAAATTCTTGCAATATTCAAAAGACATTTTAAAATTTTCCTGCACTTTTTCAACATTTAAGTACGAAACATTTCTATAATTTGTTATACATTTTGCATAATTTGGGAAGCGGTTCCAAAAGTATGTATACATTTTTTCCCTCACATTTCCATCATTTTTGAAACATTTCCAAAGTTTAAAAACTCTTCCAACATTTCAGACTCATTTCCAAAATGTTTATAATTTCGCTCAAATTTCCAATGTTTATGAAACGGATCTAATTTCTATTTCTGAAACATTTTTTGAAGCATTTCCAAAATCTTGAAATATGACATTTTCAAACGCTCCAAAATATCTACACATTTTTGATACTTTTTCAAAATTTAGTACACATTTCTAAAATATTTCCAAAATTTCCTAGACAATTCCAAAACTTCAGCCACATTTCTGAAACATTTCCTACCTTTCTGAAATATTTTTTAGTTTTTAAACATTTCCGAAATTTTAAAATTCTTCAAATATTTCAGGTATATTTCTGTGTTTGTATCTTGCAAATATTTTGAAATAAAATGAAATTGTAATTTCCAGAATAGATAATTACGTCTTGTCTCCCTGATAATAAGCCTTATCTATAAACGAGATAGAGCCACTTCGCACAAGAGCTCTTGATCTTTTGTTGGTTTTTACCGAGGTTTTTACGTTTGGTTTTGAACACTTGTTGATTACGACATGTGTTTCATTTATGGCGTCAAAAAGATAGAGAAATTCTTGCTGGCTGTATTTTTTGTGTGTTGAAAATTTGAGTCGTTGGCGCATAATTTGGGGCATGACCCGGTATAAACAATACATATATATTCTCGCATAGCGGAAACATTGTACGGAACTCAGCCGCGAGTTTGCACCGCCAATCAGTCGAGATGTTATAAAAAACATGTTTTTTACAAGTTGCTCTTTTTGAATTAATGTATTATTGATATTAGAGTGAATACCTCGGTGAATACCATCGTGCAACTAAAATGTTATTTGACAAAATGACAAAAATAGCAAACTAAATGTTTCAAAAGATATACTCCTGACCACTTGTATTTTCACCAAAAAATGGTTGTTTTCCGGACTAGTGTCAGTGAGAAAAAGACCAAGCCAAATTTCCAAGACATCTCTTCGTCTGAGCAAGTCCATCAGTGTACCATAAAATGTACTTCGATAACTCTGTTAAAGTGTTTTTGTGCAGGTAGGAAGCAATCATAGTAAAAATGGATAATTATGATTGATGAGTATTCATGTCCAAAATTTGATTTAGCGCCACGTCGTAATTTTTTATTTACGTGTTGATTTGCGTTTCCTGACAGGTCAAGTTCATCGCTTTGCAGATTTATGGAGGTAATTAAGATAATGTCAGCTCTGGTTAATTTTTCTAACTCTTGCTTATCAGCGCGTATTTATTTGCACAAGGCTTTTTAGTAGAGGATTCCTTATCTGCAGCACTGCGTGTAACTATGTGCGAACTGGGGATAATACTGAACAAAACGGCGGAAAACGTACAATCATACTTCGCGAGGAAAATAACAGATTTAGTAAAATTGCCGAGAACGCTACCCCAATTACAAAAAGGTTTCAAAAGAATTTCTCACTAGTTTCCGAAGGCGTATTTTTTTGGAAACTCTTAAAAATTCCAAGTAATTCCAAGCAGGTTTTAAAAACATTTCTAAGGTTTCTGAGACCTTTTAGTTTCCACTCGGATTACCAACCCAAAAATTGAAACAATTCGCTCGCTTAGGAAAATTTTAAAAAATGTTAATAACCCTCTATTTTCTTAAGTAAAGAGATACAGAACAATGTATATTGCAAAGTTTCTGACTTTCTGTATAAAGATTGTTGAATAATAATCTGCAGTTTTCAAAATAACTATACGGAGTCAGGTGAAGAAGTTATCGGACCTAACCTCACTTTTTTTTAAATAGATCACCCTATATACTTTAATCTAAAAAGATAGCGTATTATTAAATTCTCTCTTCAAAAATATAACACGCCAGGGACAATATTCAAAAAACGTTCAAAAAGATTTAACAAAATTTCAACAATTCTTCAATTTTTTAATTTTTTTTGTATCTTTTTGGATAAATATTCAATTTTTTCAATGTTATACTTTGGAAAAGATAATCGAATGCTTTCTTTTTAGATTAAAATATGCAGTGTTCTATTTTTAAAAAAATGAGGTTAGGTCTAATAACTTTGTCTTCGTTTTTGTAGTGTTTATGAATTATTTATATTAGGCCGACGAAAAACGAACTAGAAAGGGCGTCGGAAACCGTGAAGTCTCTTGTAATTATAGGCTATGTTGCCAGTGTGTACTTTTTTACGGATCATACAAAAAAATAAAGTTGATGATTTCCCTGTAACGAAACGTGTCTTGTGTCTTGTAAAGCTCAAAAAGTGGCAATGGAATGGAATGGAATGAAATTTTTCTTTTTTTGCAATTAGGGAATTTTTTTTGCATTTTTAAATTAAATTTTTGCACTGGAATCATGCCCCATTATATTATCTTATTATTATCTTGGATTTTTGGAAATAGATGCATTGGTATGGTAAACATACCAGCTGACACTTCCACACTTGATGTAAACATATTTATTACCTCGTCTATTACAGAATTTAAAATTGTCCTGGGATTCCGTACATATGCGCTATGACTATAATAAGAGCTTTATTTACAATTTCAAAAAAAAGTTTGAAATTGGAGCACCTGAAAAAAGGAAAGGTTTTTTAAGACAACAATGACATCGGCGAGGACATCGGTATTCGTAATCATTCAAAGATTGCAGAAAAACATGTACGTATGTATGTCATTGCTTATTATTCATAAACGGTTAAATATACCATTGGCCGCCGAGCTTTTTTTGGGAAATTTAGACCTCTATAATTGTTATGATCAAATACTGAAATCAAAAATCTCCTCCTCTACAGTTTCGTTTGTGATTTTCCTCTACAATGAATTTTCTGTAAATTTCTTCTCCTTCGGTTTTCTCAGGGTTTTGGACTCTAAAAGTCTAAAAATTAAAAGTTCCTGAGTATGTACTCTGCATCAATTTTTTGTTGATTCAGCAAGATCTCGTTACCCTTGGATGCTTTGTTAAGAAATCAATGTAAAACATTTGATTTTGAAATTTTTCTTGTAAATTTATGTAGAAGTATAGAACCTGACACGTCATTATTTTTCTTTTTTGTCCTCTCTTATTCCGTAAAAATCCAACATGGCGTCCATAAGAAAATAGTAGGTAGCCACACTCTGAGGTGTTCCATCCGACCGTTTAAGCTAGGGAAAATGAAATCAAAATTTGCCATTTTCAGTTTTTCATTGATAAATGTTATTTTGAAAGATTTTTCAAAAATTTCAAAAGCGTCTTTTTAATCACAAAAAGGGACAACTGTCAGCTTACCTCTAAGTACCTACATGCAAACAAAAACACAACAAAAACACTTGTTTGTTCTAAAAAAAAGCCAACTTTAATTTCTTTTCTAAAAACGCACACAAATTCGGAAAGTATCCACCAAGTTAGACATCGAAAGATTGACAGCTGTCATGTAACAATTTCTGCAATGTTAGACAAGCCAGAACAATATTATTGGACGTCCATTGACCAAGTACTGCTCCCTAGAATCTTCTCAAGGTCTTGGTACATTACGGATTCACCTCGGGATCAACCGTGGAATCTCATAGCCAGGCACTGATATATTTTTTTTACCAGTTTATCTACTGCACATTATTTTAGTATGAAATAGTATAAATTATACTAAGTGGAACAGAGCCATGGTCCCCTTATCTCCTTTAGTTTTGAAGATATTTATTTGAAATTTGGGGCATTTATACATAATAAGCGGCACGTTTTGATATATATTTTTATTTACATATTATTATTTATTTTTATTAGAGGCTTCATTTAAGTTGCTACTAACTACCGGAGTACAAAAAGTACTCATCAATAATATACAGAGTGTTCCATTTGGTTAGCAACGACCTCGGCAACGACAGTTGAATGTTTGTTTATACCTACACACCAATTTCAAGAAGAGTACTTGTGACATTGATTCCAAAAGCCATGAAACAATACACCGGTATTACTATACAAATTCAAAACCATAACCAAGGGCGAGACCACGAATATTGAATCACTCGGCTACTTTAAGCAGTGAGTTAACACTTATATGTATTCTTGGCCTACCTAAAGATGAACACCTTGATATGCGTAACCTCCTATCATTACATCGTCCGACAATTAGGTTAAACTTAAATACAGGTAGATTACCGACCAATTTCCCCAATATTTATTAGGACAAATCAAAAATGCGCAATTAGAAAGCTTGCTGGTCACGCACGCCGTTGACAACTTAATTGCTAATATTATTAGAAATTCCAAAAATTCCACATACCTGTTCGATAATAAAACCACTAAGGAGAATTAGGTAAATGTATACTAGACGTTTTATTGCCAATTCCATTTTCACTACTAATTGGTTTGGAGTTTGGACAGTCTAAAATGCGAACGTTTAGGTTGTATTATTACATTAGCAGACACATTGCTTGATTTGTAAAAAAAATAGTTGTAGAATTAAAGGAGAGATACGCGAAACAGCAACGGACGAGTTATCACTGTTAACTGACTCACAAAAACATTAAATTAAACTGATATAGGATTAATCACTTTAGTCAATAGACCAAAAACGTCATGCGAGTACAATTGACCAATCGGAAGGGAGGATTCTGTGGCTCTGGTCCGTGCCTGTAACGTGAGGTGTTTTAAATCGTAGTGACTAACAACACATTCATTTTACAAATGATTCGTCATTTGTCGCTACTCTGGAGGACCTTGAAACTGTAACCATTGTTTAACGTATAATTTTAATGTTATTACTATGTGGTGAGATTTGATAAAAATGTTTTATGGCTCTCTGTGTGTCTCCGAATGGTTTAAATTCACAATTGGACCCTATCGGAATATAGGATATCTTTTTAAACACTTCTTTTTTCGTTAATGTCGCACCTGTGCTATTTCGCGTACCGTGCCGACGTATTTACCTACATTTTTACATTCTGTAAGTTGGGTTTTCGTTATCATATATCCATCAATCTCAGGCATAAATAAAAATGGTTGTTTGTATGTCTCTTATGCTTTGCCTAACTCGTTTATCCGATTGCGATGAAACTTTGGGCAATGGTTGGACGTATTCGCGTGCAAGTTTCTATTGAAAAAATCGTTATGAAGTTCGGTGGGCGTACGAGGTGAGGCGGCGCAACCACCCAAACCGAGTGTATGTCCCATTCAACAAATTATCGACTGATAGGCTCACCGGGTGCGTGAGGTGAGAAATCGATAGTACGTTCCATTCAAGAAAACTATGTTTCCCAAAGTCGGTCCAAGTTTGCAGGTTCTGCTAGTTCTTAGTATTCAAAGGAAGAAAAAATGGAAATATTACAGATGGTTTTTATATTCTTGAATCTTTACTTATAGACCATTTTGATTTATTTTTAAGCATCTTCGGGTGTGGTCTAGAGTCCTTACTTTGGGGGAAAGTTTAACATTTGCAATTAAGTTGTCACCCTGTTTATGGTACAAATGTAATATAAATACTCATAAAACATAAATAAAGACTAGCACAAATACCACAGGCAAACAAAAAGGAACTAATTAAAGAGAGAAAATTAAGAAATTATTTATTCACAATATCTTGTAATATTACTCGATCTCGCCTAAATAAATTTGTTTGTCACTTGAACCAGATGCAATTATTGTTTCATTAGGATGAAAATCCACATCATTAACGCTCCCATTATGTCCAGGCAATTTGTATATAATTCGGCGAGAGGTCGTGTCCCAAATGTACATGTAACGATCAGCTGAACCACTGCTCACTTTACTCCCATCAGCCGACCAAGAGCACCGTACAAGATTTTTTTCAAAATTATGCAAATGTCCTAAATAAATATCAGTTATTAGATAAAGTTACACTAATCCACCTAATACCTGTAAATACTTTGACACAGCGTTCTTGCGGTGCATAAGGTCTTATATCCCATATTCTTAACGTATTGTCCATGGCATTTGTTAACAAATACGAACCGTCCGGGCTTAGCGATATACCGGTAACGGTATCCGCGTGTCCACGCATGCTATACAATAATTCATTTTTTCGTATATCCCAAACCTTAATTTCATTGTCAATTCCGCTGCTGTAAATGTGTTCGGCGGTATCGCTAAAGGTGACGGCGGTTACCTGGTACGGGGTACTAATTGTTGAAACGCTATTTCGTTTTCTGGTATCCCACAAGCGAATCGTAGAATCATCACTTCCTGACACCAAAGTTTGAGGACCGCGTCTCGCACCTATTTGGAAATTGTGTTTACCAGACTGTACGTTAATAATTAATGAGCAGTGATAAGGTCAAGAGAAGGCGCAATAGTTTGACTTTCTTGGACTGTAGAACACCAGGGTCGCCAGGGTTGTTTCTCCACTGATAAAAGTGTGAAAATGGGTCTATTAAAGACTAAAGGTGACAACCCTGGTGTTGTACAATCCAAATAGTAAAATTGCGCATGCTCTTTGATTCACTAGTCAGAGAAGCACGCTTTATTTGTTGCCTCTGAAGCCTATGAGTGTGTCATTTACCTTGGCAGGAATTGACAAAATTGGTATGTCCCTTGTACTTTTTTACTCGTTGCCCTGTTGCGATGTCCCATAATCCAAGTGTATGATCTGTGCTTGCCGTGAATATATGGGAGCCGTCAGGTGAAAAGTGCAATTCCATTACGGCCCCCGTATGGCCGGACATGACCGATAAATTTTCACACTCTCCATAAACAGACCATAAAACTAAAAAGGATTAATTAACCGGCTACTGAAAACGATGTCGTACATACATATACGACGATCGAACCCTGATGACGCTAAATACTGTCCTTCGGGGTGAAATTCCAATGTGAAAATCTCGCCCTCGTGTCCCTCTAGAAGCATAATGGGTGCGAATAGGTTGGAAGTACGGGCTACTGTCTGTAAGGGGTGAATTCAATCAATTTTAAGTTACAGCAGGTACACACATACCGTCGATGAGAGCGCTTTATTTCGTGAAACGGCGACTTCGTTACGTGTTTTCTTTGAAACTGGCACCAAAGCCGAATCGTCCGCTTTTCTTTTACTTTCAGAAATCATTTTTCCAGTTATTTAATTTAGCAATAGTAAACAAACTTCTTTTTTAGGTTAAGTTAACTCAATTCGACATGTCAACAGTGCTGCCAGACTTATAAAAGGTTTTGCTGTTAACGAACGGCCATTATGATCCGCACGAATCGAAATCGAACGTGAACGTATATCCGAACAGCTTAGTCATTGAATTCACAAATTCAATGGCTGTTAGTTAGGAATATTTCTACACATTCCCATGATTTAGTAGTTGACTAGCCAAAATGTACAAAATGTAGATGTTCCGTTGATGATCCATTCGCTCTAAACACTTCGTTTGTTGTACAGTTATTAATTTGTTCCAGTGACCACGTGACCTTTTCAACCAGATAAAAGCTTTGCAAACTCCTGAAATGGGTAACTAAACGCACCTAAAATATTTAATATTGGCAACCTCTGCTTTTGACGTTTATTTTGTTTACAAACCGCGCGTATTTGACTTTTGTAGGTTATGTTGGCCTTAAATCTGTGGCTTAAATCCGTTTGCTACGTGAACGGTTTTAAATAATAAAAATGGAATCTAATGCCGTTTTAACGTGCTCCGTTAATTTGGAATGGCTCAACAATCAGGGTACCACACAACGAAAGGTAGCATACAAGACTGCTACCTTGAGACTAACTAGAAATGAATTCCAAGACATTTTTCTGGAAATTGCGCCGGAAAAAGGGGCCGAAATAAGACTGAAACTAAAATCCATAACCGTTCACAATAAATTCATGAATGACGGAAAGGCTACCATCAAATTCCAACAGGAGAAATGCACTGTAATGCTTGTAAATGCGGCACCATCTCAACTGATCAGTTTCTTACGTACCATCTTTGTGAAGATGACTGGCGATAAATCATCCAATTCAAAGATGTCTCTACGAGCTCAGTTATTGTCGAACAAGCCGAAATCATTCGAGGAAATAAGCCCCGTGACGATGGTTGATTTGGAAAACGCACACAAGAAGATTTCAAGATCGACCGACACTACCCCGTCGCCATCTAGTAAAAAACGGAAAATCTCGGACGCGACCGGAAGGGCGCCCGTGGCAAAGAAGCTCCTGTCTGCAATTCCCAATGAAGTAATGACCGACGAGCAGAAACGAGTTTTCGACGCCTGCATGTCCGGGCTGAACGTTTTTTTTACGGGCAGCGCTGGAACAGGTAAAAGTTTCTTGCTTAAGAAAATTATAGCCGCATTGCCTCCAAACGCGACTGCTGCAACCGCCTCGACAGGTGCGTAAATCAATTTTTCGTTTAAAGATCCTTAAGGGTTGCGTGCAGGTGTGGCCGCTTGTCATATCGGAGGGACTACACTGCATCAATTTGCTGGTATCGGACGAGGGGAAGCTACCCTTGAACGCAGCTTTGTCATGGCCTCCAAGTCGGTTGTCGCACAGGGGTGGCGAAAAACCAAGCATTTAATTATTGATGAAATTTCGATGATTGATGCTGATTATTTTGAGGTAGGTATTCAATTTTATTCCAGAAAATATAACAAGTGATACATCCAAAGTTAGGAAATACGCTCTTTTCAAAACCTCAACAATATATAAGGTGGCTCATATGAGAAACTGTAGTTTAGGGTCTTATAATAAAACCAAACACCCTGTAGTTACGGTACATGAGTCCCCCAGGTACAAACATGAAATTGATAAAAATGGCTAGAGGGAAACGTTTTCAAAAAAAAAATTTGCCGGAGAAGTCTTAAATTTGCCACAATATTAATACAAAGTTCATATAATTTCGCCGAAATGTGAGGTATACCTACCTCTACCCATCTCTCTCGTCACGGGTTCTTGCAATAGTTGTTTACTAGTGCTGCGGTTCTAGTTACGGAGTACTTAGTTCAATGATATTTCATGATTGCTTTTAAGTTGGCAAGATGAGCAACAATCGAACTTCAATCTCTTACGGGACTCATGCGGGTCACTCTGTAATTGGGCGCAAGTCTGTTGAAGACCCAGAACAAGAGAGGGATAATAAATAAATAAATGAGGTTATATTATTTTTCCATGATTAAACGTTAAAAAATGATGTATAGCTATACATGTGATTCTAATTATACCAATAATAGCGAGAAGAAGTTACATGTTTTACATTATTCATGTGTACTTAAGATGTCTCTTCCCCTTGCGAGTGATGAGGCGGTCGCTAACAAAGAGGCGGCCTATGGAAGATGCGTTCGAAGTTAATCGGCGGTTGCTAACAAAGAGGCAATCTATGGAAGATGAGAAAGACGTTCCTTCCGGTGGTCCTTGCCAAATGCAAAATGTAACCTTCTTTCTCTTCTTTGCTAAGGCATTCAAGTTTAGTCTGTACGCGCTTCCAAAAGCGGTTTGATTAAAATATATCCACATGTGACATAGGGGTGTCGCTTATTTTGTCAATGAGTCGAACTAAATCTAATATTGTGGTGTATATTGTACCTATATTATACTACTTTTATCGACTAAATTCAAGAAACGCCTTCTAGCGGGCAAACGATTAGAGAACTGAATTTTCTGTTTGCGCCAGTGATTTACTCTTTAAAATAAAGAGTATTTCCATAAGAAAGTGTCCAATTTGGACCCCCCTGTACATTTTAATCCTAATTGACAAATCGCTCAAACGTTTCTATTTTATAGAAAGTGGAAGAGGTGGCTCGATACGTTAGAAGAAACGATAAACCTTTCGGCGGTATACAGCTTATACTATGCGGAGATTTCCTGCAATTGCCGCCCGTGACGAAGCGCAACGAGACGACCCGATTCTGTTTCCAATCGCCCATGTGGGAACGCTGCGTTCAGCGTTCCTTCGAATTATCCGAAGTGCATCGACAGCACGATAGCGAATTTATTAATATTTTAAATAAGTTGCGTTTGGGCGAGGTGCCCAAGGAGGTAGCCGACAAATTAATGGCGACATCAAAGCAAATAATCGAACTTAACGGAATTTTGGCGACGAGACTTTGTTCGCATACCAACGAGGCAATTATGATTAATGAGTCGAAATTGAAAAGTTTGGAGGGCGAGTCTGTAGCTTTTAATGCGGTCGATAGTGACGGAACGGCGACAAAGCAGTTAGACGAGCAGACGCCGGTGGCGAGCCAAATTATTCTTAAAATCGGCGCCCAAGTTATGTTACTGAAGAATCTCAACATTTCGTCTGGTTTGGTAAACGGGGCGCGAGGTGTCGTTGTGGGATTCGAAGATAACTTACCGGTGGTCACCTTTCGCAACCAAAAGTGTGCCATAAAACAAGAACGTTGGTTATGCAAAACTCCGTCCGGAATGGTCATAACTCGCATGCAGGTGCCGCTCAAATTAGCCTGGGCGTTTTCGATTCACAAATCCCAAGGTTTGACATTAGACTGCGTCGAGATGTCGTTGGGAAAAGTTTTCGAGGCCGGTCAAGCTTACGTCGCTCTCTCTAGAGCTAAAAGTATGGACACTTTGAGGATATTGGATTTCAAGGCATCGCAAGTGTGGGCAAATCCGACCGTCGTTGACTTTTACAAGAAGCTAAGAAGACGACTGGACGATACTGAAATTATTCCGTTAGGTAGAAAAAATACGAATTCTAAAAGTACTTTACAAAAGGCAAAAGGGAAATTAAGCAAAATGATAATGGACAAACCTTTAGTTTCAATTTCATGAGAGTATATGACGTATAAATAAATTTATTTTGGTATTTAAAGTTGACTTTTATTAATTTTACACTTTTTTTATTTGTATCAGTTTTCAGCTTGTATCCTTTAGTGTGCATACAATACTATCATCTGCGTCAATCATCGAGTAAAGGTAAATAAGTATCTTGTATTTATTTGTATGAAAATTTTGTACTGTTGTACCATTGTGCAAGTTGGCGTTCCTTTTTATTATGGGACCCACTAAAAAGATCACCCTGTATTTTCCATATTAGATAGGCGCATAAATCTAAGCACCCTGTAGTCTACTCACATGCGTACCTCAAATTTAATAAAAAATCCACCTGCAAAATTTCATAGTAATCGGTCCATTCGCTATTGAGATATCGAGCTAACTGACATCGCAAAAAATAACTCGCCAGGAGCTCGTTAATAATCAGGAAGAGTGGTCTAAAAATTGCAACGAGGAGGTATTTTTATATAACAAGGGAGAGCGCTAATTAAATGGGAGGTAATTGTTGGTCAGAACTCATTATTAAGATGCGACAAATTTACTGTAAACCAAAGAGTATACAACGAAACTGCTGTAAACTGACCTTTCATTAGAAACGTCCTTCTGTAATCTACGCGTTAAGGGGTTGGCATGGCAGCATTCAATCTGACTGGTCGTCTCCCGCGCTCAAGGGTCATGTAAACAAATATCGCGACTGCTTAAGGGCAAAGAGTAACCATAGCAATAGCTTTCTTATGCGAAACGTGCCTACCGTAATTCATACCGTTTTTAAAAACTAATACATTTTTTTTGGGAAATGTTTGTTGTTTCTTGTTCTTAAATGTACCTAAGTATGTAAATTATGAGTGAACAGTTTATATTGCATTAAAACTCATAGTACATTCTCTGAAAGCGTATAAAGTAGACGCTCGGTTGCAATGACAATTTTTTGTGTATAATTCAAAGGTCAAAGAAGTTTTTGAAATATAAATAGTTTCTCCAGATTCTTGCACATATAATAATTAAAACGTGATGTGAAAATCAATTAAATGTGGTTTCTAAAGCACAAACGTCCCTCTGTAAACTACGCATAAGGGGTTGGCATGGTAGCATTCAATCCGACTGGTCGTCTACCGCGCTCAAGGGTCATGTAAACAAATATCGCGACTGCTTAACCGCGATCCTCGCCAATTAATTAAGTAACTCACCGGGGGACGGTAGCCCCGAGCTGGCACTAAGCTCCCTAGTTCTCCGGACACTCCGGTTGGCGATTGGGGTTGAATGCGTCGTTGGAGATGGTTTCCTGAAGGGTTAAGATGGAGTTCAGACCTATTTGGGAAAGGGTTACGCCGCGCGCACGTTTATTATTTAGGATACGCATCCCGCCTCGGCCAATAGATAAGTAACGTCGATCTATGTCGCTCATTGCCCTACCTAGGAACGACCTCCTGGTCAAGCTCACCCCCGAACTCTTTTTGTTAACAATGAGGCCTTTATTTTTCGTATTGGGTCGACACCATGATGGGAAACACTCACATTAAAGGACTTTATTACGCCAAACTCACTCGGAAACGCCGTTTTCGAGATATTCACACGTGAAGTTTTGATCCCACCGATTGATGCGTGGGTCCATGTTCCCAACCCCTTCCTTATTAGAAATAGCTAATTTAAAATAGTGTGTTCGCGTTTTGTACCATTCCAATAATAAAAAAATGTACGAATCGCAACAAATTAGATCACATTGAAATTGGGGAGGTCATCGTCCCCCACCCCAACGCGATATTTCACAACTATTTTGAGGTAAGAATTTTGTATCTTTTGTTCTTTTAACATACAGTTTTGTTCCTAAACTGTTTGAAAACGATGTGTCCTATGTCCCTACTTATACTGTTTCTTAATTAAAATCAAATGGAGGCCGGAGGGGGATGGAGACCAGGGGCGGCGACTTATGGGGGGCAACGAGGCTAATGCCCCCATGTAAGTTGATCTTAAGGGTGCATTGCCCCATGCAAATTAAATGTACCACATTATGGTACTGAGACCGAGACAGAGATGTTGGACAGACGCAGACGTCTACGAGCGAGAGAATGTACCTAAACGTATGAAACCAATCCTAATTTATGATCCCTATTATTCAAGAAAATTGGCCCTGGCCCCCACGCAAATAATTAAAACCCGCCGCCCCTGATGGAGACAACCGTGACTCCTCACTATATTCTTTTATTTTTGTTGTACTTGTAGGTACCAATTATGATACCTACAATCAGTGAAATATTGCGCATGTGGACGGAGTTGTGGGTGATGTCACGCGGGGGGTGCTTTTTGTGGAATATGTAAATTAGTTTTTTCAACTAATTGAAATGCGCTGTCGCTGTGCTGTGGATTCAACTTTCTATTTCCCCTACTAAATTTTAGAACCTATTTGCTGTAGTAAGAAACAAATCCCATAATAATCCAATATACTTTTCTAATAGTTTTGTATAGTAGTTTATTGTTCTTTTATTCAACAGTGCGCATTTTTGCAAATGTAGGTATTTGTAAAAAGATAGCGTTTAATATCACTTTGGCCGGCTGGCTGGCCACTATGTGGCGTCGGCGACATCAGGGCGCCGTCCCCGAGCGTGTTATACTCACATGTTGATTTTTCAGTTGGTTCCTATTCTTTTCTACAGTTTTGGTCCGATTGTTTTCAAATTGGTGTCATCAGAAAGATCTTGTAAACCCCCACAACTCCTGCGTGGCGAAATTTTGGTTTTTTTTCCTAGGGGCGAAATTAACCACTTCTTGCTAAGCGCGTGTCTTTTGGGGTAGTTCACTTTTCGAGCCCAAAAGTTTGTTAGAGCTCGAAACGCGGTCTCTCTTTCTCGTATCGCCAATAGAAACTCGAGCTATGAGAAATGACCCAAATATTGAGCACTATTTTGTGGAGGGTTGTTAGCGAAATGCACCAAAATGAGAATTGCGAGTGAACGGGACGGAAGTGGATACCGATAAAGGGTATGCGGTTGCCCCCGACAATATCCTCAGAGCCTGATGGCAAGTATGCTTCCAGGATATATGTGAGAGCATCAGCCGCGGTACACGTACATATATCGGCCGCACGGAAGCCTCCCTCCTATGTTGCCACAGAACTCAGAAGGTCCTCCGAGATCCTCGTTTAGACTTTCTAATATGATAATGCTTTTTATGTTTGCGCTGACTGATCTTAAATATAAATAAAACCAAAGAGTATTATGGTTACTCTTTGATAAAACACTATTTATGATCTTAAACGAGATCTTCCCAGTCCGTATGACCCTATTTCTAAATACCGGGTGTTCAGCAAAGCTGTTGGACTCTACAAATATACAGTGTGGTTATAACTTCAGGTGTGAACTTCAAGTCGGAAAATAAGTAACTTCGTTACAATACATTTTGGCAATCCATTTTTATTTAATCGTATCCATTTTTTTTAATGGGAGGAACAAGGACCTCTGATGCGCTTTGTCGACATGTATCATTTTCCCCTTTATAAATACTCTCTGCCGACACTCCGTTTTTGAGATATTCGCGTTTGAACTCTTCAATCCACCAACCGACGCGTTTCCTTGGTGTCATTTTCACTTTGTAAGTACTCGGTTTTCAATATATTCACACATGAAGTTATTGACTCCACCAATGGATGCACTTCGTGAGTACCTTCTTCTGACACTCCATTTTTACAATATTAACAGTGGAAGTTTCGACTACTCTGACAAATGCGGTTCGTCCACAACTAACATTTTCCCATTGTGAGGACCTCTTCCAGGATAGTCACATTGAAATTCTGCCACCATGTTTTGACACAATCAATTAGAAAAAGTTCAACACCATAACAGGATGTTATTTTCAAAAACAATTTTTTTTTTGTGTATTTCTCAAGGAGAAACGGGAAAATACTTATAAAAATGTTGGAATAAATTCCTATTTTTTCGCAACAGAAAAATAAGTGTAATACGCGAATGGCAGGTAAAGTTTGAAAAATGTTTTAAATCAAGGACATAGATGCTGTTAATTATAAAATACCAGAAAAGCCTATTTTATTTCAAAATAAATAAAATGATATACGCAGCCATTCTTTCTCCCTATGGTAAACAAATGTATAATTTAATGACAACTCAAATACATAATTTTTGAACAAAATGGAAGAGTAGGAACAATCAAACAAGCGAATATAGCCTTATAAATAATCAATAATAATAATAATATATAACTTGGACCTATTAAATTGAACTTAATTTAATCACACTTTTTAGTTACATCAAACGTAAATTGTAATTTTCTAAACTGACGAGACGAGCGATTACACTACGCATCAAGATCGTTAATGAACAGCACTTCGCGATGTTGTAATCCAGCTTCCTCTAGCGTTTGCACATAGTCCGATTCGTGTTGGGGCACACAATATAAAACCTTTTTTGGAAAGTTTGTGGTTATTTCGAAAGTATCTGGGGCAGCGGGGTGGCAGAAGACGAAATAAAAAATTGCCTGAAATCGATTACAGTTATAATAGAATTTCTTGTTTCGTTTTACCTCTAAGGAATGTGATTTCAGGAAGCGGCGTTCGAGTCTATGACCCGAAGGTAATTTAAAGACGACGTGAACTGCATCTGGATGATTAGCGTCGGGTTCGCTAGGCACTTTAGTTACGGAATTGATTTTCTCTTGCGCGATACTTTGGCGTCGCTCCTGTTCGGCGCGAGCCTCCTGCTCCATTCTTCTCAACTCGGCTTGTTCCGCCTCCCGCTCCTCGCGCCGCCTCCTCTCCTTCTCCTGATCCGCCCTTAGGGATTCTAAAAATGCCTCGTCTTGATGTGCACGAAGAGATCGATTGAGGCTAGCTTCAACTCTGGAAAAGGGCCAAATTGGGTAATTGTAAAGGTAATAATTCGTAAAGGTTACCGATCCGTTCGGGCCTGTACAAGATTAATTTCAAACTCTGCGACTACCGTTGTCAATCGATGTAGAAGCACATTGCTATCGCAATAACCTTCCATACGACTTACGATAGTCATGCGGTTATCTTTTAGGACGACCACCGCCATGTATGGATAATGTTTCGGTCGGAACAATTGAGACACTTTGTATCCTTCTCCGGATTTCGACGAGCATCCCCAGAAGAGGAAGTTTGTGTTGATATACGTGACTACATCTGGTTGGGATAGGGTGTCCCTGAAAGTGACATACAATGCATTGATAGGTAAAATGGCCTAGTCTAGTGTAAAACACACCTGCAAAATGCTAAAGTGTCGATTGCATTATCACTATGCAAATAAATCAGCAAAAACTTAAGTTCATGCTTGGCATCATTTAAAACTTGGGAATAAGTACCCTGATAAAAGACAGGGTGTACACTAGAATACTTCTCTTCATATACCCTAATAAAATCGAGAACATCTTCTATGGGATTGGTTAATGCTAAAACATCCTCTTTAAGTTACGGAAGATGCGAGGTACAACTTACCATTACGACTATCTGTTCCAATGACTCTCCTTCCAATTTGCAAAAATGTAATTATCGTATTATAACACAGTGTCCAAAAGAAATTAATAATATTTGCGAAGAATCCTCGTATACCGCTTCCGGAACCGTCAGTTGGGGGCGTGTAGAATACGTGCTGGCCTAAATGATCACTGACAACGGCGGGAGGTCTAGTCTCGGTCGCGTAGAGTGACGGTCGTCCCTCTCGTATGTTTAACTGTTCCTGTACGGCAACCTCGAGGTTCCACTGGTGCCGTTGTAACACGTCTCTGCAGATGGACATGTCCTCTATGCCTGTGAGATCTTGAAACTGTAGCACTTTTTCTGTTTGCTCTGAGGTCAAGCCTAGACCACCATTATCTCCCAAATAATCCATTGTTTAGAAGTTTTGCCAGTCACATGCAGAAAGTGAGAAATGCAATAAAAAAAATTAGTTGTTTAATTAATACAAAGTGCGAGAGAGTTTCGAGACATTTAAAAATTGTAACAATGGAAAAGCATTAATTAGTACTTGAGAGAAATCTAAACGTCACATTTTTTGATATTTTCCAATTTTATGATAATTTTTTAGGAATATTCCATTTTCGTTTGCAAAGGTTGGTAATCGCTCTAATGGAACCTACCGTCTTTTACACAGGGTGTACGACAAGTTACAAAGGAAATAATTTGTTTCTTTCCCCATATACAGAGTGTAAGATATGTATAAGCAATGGTATAAGTACAGTGACTGTATGTATTAGGACAGTAGCGACAACTTATCATTATCCGCCATATTGGAGCTAAAAAATTGTTTGATTGTAGGATCAACACATATACCTACCTTGTCGTGTGAAATTGTGACCTTACTTCAGAAGTACAGCGCAGAAATGATCGTCCGAAACTGTGCAGAACAAGCTATCAGAAAACTACTGCCTTCTAAATTCAAAAAGATATGTGGAAAAATATAAAGGTAACAATTAATCATTAAATTGTGACAGTTCAGTGTGTACTATCACTTTTTGTCCGGCGTGGCGTTCGGATGAAAAAGTGACACTTTAGTCCTTTAAATGGAAGAAAACACTCATTGATTTAATACACGGAGCACAGAAAATGCAATATTCGTTGTGCTTCAGCAATAAATGTTAAATTTTAAACCAATTCAAGCGTTTTATGATCACAATTGAAAAGTATAATCATCTTTTCGGGTATTTCATTTCTATTGACTTTAAACCCACCAAACTTTGTGTATAGAACCGAATGTCCACAATATACATTTTACTTTAAGCAGCACCTTTATTCACAGAATTTATCAGTTATTAAGAGGAAAGTTTAAGCTGCGTATGCGCGCATTTGAGTTTCAATACGGGTGCTACGTTTAGTTTTATTAGAAAGTTGTCGGCGAATGCTCAGGTTTGTTTTTAGCGCATTTCAAAATAAAAAAAATGCGCCATTGTGGCCACTTTGTCCGTCCGTCCGCTCGTTTTGAGACGCTACTAGTTTTTTATCTTAAGAGCTATTGTTCTACTTTTTTCGCTATTTGGTTCGTTATGGTGTCGAGTCTTGCACCAAGGAAGGAATTTTTTCTGTACCGCTTACAAAAAAAGTTATTGTAAAAAAAACAAAAAACCGTTTTTTACATGTTCCATAATTTTACACTTTTGCCGTTTATTAACGATCCTAGAGATCGTTTATAATTTTGCATTGCTGTCTGTCATCTGCCTGTTGGTCTGTCCGTCTGTTCTTTTGTCTGTCTGTCCCTCTATCTGTCCGTGTGACCGATAACTTTGTTTAGAAATGTCTGATCGCTCTTACATCTCCGTTAGTTATGAACGGAATTGCATGAAATTCAATATGGGCATAGCTTTAGCCATATAATACGCAATGCCAAAAGTTGAGTCGAATCGATTCAAAATTCACAGTGCCGTTTTCGCATCTCGGCTATTTCTAAACCGAATTGCAAACTTTTGTTAATTATAAAAGTATTTACATGATATTTTATACATAGCCACTTGGAATAAAAGTAAATTTAACGTCAATTTCAAAATTTGGTTTTGCGCATGCGCAGTGCCAACTTTCTTATTTATGGAGGGATTTAAATGAAATTTGATACATAGCCACTTGGGATAAAAGCAAATTTAACGCCAGTTTCAAAATTTGGTTTTGCGCATGCGCAGTGCCAACTTTCTTATTTATGGTGGGATTTAAATGAAATTTAGCCACTTGGAACAATAGAAAATCTAACGTTAGCTTCAAAATTTAGGTTTGCGCATGCGCAGTTTCAACTTTCTTATTTAGTAAAGCATTGAAATGAAATTCTTCTTATAAACTGAAATTGAAGTAGGACATCAAAATGGATTGCACATTATGCAACGCTATCTTTCATATTTGTGGCCGGATTTTTACAATTTTAACAAAAGTTGCATCTTACAAATAGGAAATGAATGCAAGTTGAAATGCGCTTTATGTAAATCGTTTACGATTACTTTTTAACTTGTTTTATTATATATGCGCCATGTTTGTTTTTATTAGAACCGACATGTATAGTTACTGTTATGGTTAAAATTTCAAGATAAATAAGAAAATTGACATTGTGCAGTCTGCGCATGCGCACATTTGAATTTTACTATACGCTATACACCTAAGAAGTATCTGTGACTAAAGTTTTAAAAAGTAAGACGCACGAACAGAGGGACGGACGCACAGAGAAAGTAGCTATTCTTTGAAAATGTGCTCAAAATTGACACTATTAAAAATGCACCAAGACCAACAAATTTGTCACAACTATTTAGATTCAATTCATTTTTATAGTTTTTGCCCATATAATATATATAGGATGTGTTAAACACATTGTAGGTACATTTGAAATTGTATGCTAAGGCACATTTTGACGAGACATTTCTTACAAATTGAACGACAAGCTCTTGCTATCATATTTGGTGTAATAGTATATTATTTTAATAGCCGTCATGAAGATCCAAGTGAATTACAGTCATTACATGCGAGTAGAATACTGTACTTTATCCACAACTGCCTCATATATATGGTTTAGTTTTGAAATTCGTGTAATAATTGTTGGACGATTGAATTTGAAATTCACCAAGGCAACCGTGTCACAAGATTTTGACAAGTTGTGATGTAGCATGCTGGTAGCACAGCCCTTGCACAGCCATCTATAAATATATTTAGTCCAAGATAACAACAGGCAGAGCATATTTTAAACTATAAAGTAGGCGACACTAGTGCCGCCTAGTAAAGACTTTTTATTGCCCAGTAGTGAGTAAGGAAACCAGTGGCAAAAACTTTTGAGCTTTCAAAAGCAAATTTTACAATGGAGTGGAGCCCCCAGTATGGCACACTGATGCTGGGTTCAGTGCCGCCTAGTGGAAGTTATTTAAAATATGCTCTGACAACCAGGGTAGTCCTCTTCTATCAAGTATGTAATAAAATGTTCTAGCTGAACTATGCTACGTCTATTCATTTTGCTTATTCATAATAAGCAAAGCTAAGAAAAGAAATTCCATACTTTTCGGATGAGCTGCATTGGCTGTGAACGAAATGTTTTTTCCTAATTACCTTGTATATTTAAGAGGCATATTTCATACTATTCTTCATTTTCCCTACTTCTACTTCTACTGTAAACTGGAAGGCGCTTTTATAAGCGCCGGTATTAATTTTTGAATTTTTAATCAACCGGTAATCGATTGAATTAAACCCCTTTTTTGCGTTTTTATCAGCTTTTAAAGATAAAAACGATCTTGACCTACACGAATCCATTTGACGGTCACGCTCCGAAAATTTGACATTTCCGTGATCACTTTTGATCAGGTGGTGGAGTTGAAAGACGTGATAAGTCGTCAGAGGAGATACGAAAAAAAAACTTAAAAGTCTTCTAAATGACCTAGAAGAGTGCTGCTGTTGCATGCTGTGTCCAGTTTAATATCCAGTATTAATTTTGTAAATTAAACCTTATAGTTTCATTTTCCAAATTCCAGTTAGTAATTATGCTGCGAACTGCCGTTGTTAGAGGTAATTTACTTCGCCAGCCGATAAAAAAGGCGATCCGATCGAATATTACGAGGACTTTCACTGTTGAGGCTTCAAAGAGAAAACATTTTAATAGGTATGTAAATTACTAGATTGAGTTTTACATAACCGCTCTATTTTTAACCTATAATGTGAATTGGAAATTACTTTTCAGCAAGGTCTCCTTATTGCAAACAGAAAAACATTTAATATGGCAACAGCGAATTTTAAGGAGGTACTCCAGCAATCTTCCGGCACACACGAAAGTCACGCTTCCTGCATTGTCTCCTACGATGAACATGGGTAACATCGTCAGTTGGGAGAAGAAAGAAGGTGACAAGCTGCAGGAGGGCGATTTACTAGCCGAAATCGAAACAGATAAAGCGACTATGGGGTTTGAAACACCAGAGGAAGGGTATTTAGCGAAAATATTAGTGCCAGCGGGCTCCAAAGAGGTCCCGATTGGAAAATTAGTGTGCATTATTGTAGAAAACGCAGCTGATGTTGCTGCATTTAAGGATTACAAAGATGACAGCGCACCAACAGGAGCAGCACCTTCTCCTGCACCACCCTCCCCCGCTCCACCTACTCCAATGCCACCTCCTCCTGCTTCACCTCCACCACCTACAGCAATTCCACTCGTCCAGCCATCTCCAGCAGCCGCAGGGGATCGAGTGTACGCTAGCCCCATGGCGAAGAGATTAGCGGAACAACGTCAAATCCGGTTGGAAGGCAAAGGTAGCGGATTGTTCGGTTCGATCACATCAAGTGACCTCGATAAACTTGCAGTCGCCGTATCTGATGCGGCACCGGCCGCTAAACCGAAGACCGTTGTCGTTCCAGCCGGTGCGGCCTACATTGATATTCCACTCACCAATATGAGATCTGTCATCGCCAAGAGATTGCTAGAGTCGAAAACGACCGTCCCTCACTACTACGTCACTGTCGATATTAATATAGATAAACTACTCGCCCTTCGTCACAAGATCAACAAGAAGAATGAGAAGCACGGGCCTAAAGTTAGCGTGAATGATTTCGTTGTGAAAGCGACTGCGCTTGCATCCGTTGCTCATCCTGAGGTCAACAGTGCGTGGATGGGAACGGCGATACGACAGTAAGTGTACATGTCTGTGCATGTTTCACTAGTTCAATCATTGAATTTATAACTATCAGATGTGTGGGTTATATGACAAGAATTGTGACGGTTTGCAGGAGTTTAAATTTTAAAACGTAGATGTCTACCATCAAGAGAAAAGTACAGTGGCGATATTAGAGTGTTTAATTTTTGATTGGTTGTTGAGATTGGCGGCCATGTTGCATCAAGTATCACTGCTATTCATTTAGAAGTTGACATAGGAATTTGCTTGTAGTGTATTTCCCAATTTCTTACTTTTAAATGACAAAATCTCTTCATGCTCCGCTAAAACTGGCTTATGTGCATCGCATTTAAACAACCACTCATTTTAAAGTAATTAACAATTTTTCTTATTGTTGGAACACATATTTCACAGAAAATGAGAGTCCTTAACCTGTTACCGGCACTATCAACTTTTTCTTCAGTTGTGCAATGCACACGGACGAAAATACAAATACAGAAGTCAAAGCAATCACAATCAAATTAATTATAATGACAGCCAGATCTTCATTTGTTTTAAGAAGTTATTTTGGTTGCATAAAATTAGGCGTCCTTCAGAAGAGATTTTGTCAATCTAAAAGTAGGCCTAGGGAAAAACAATGCACGCAAATCCCTGTCTACTTTTAAATGAATATCACTGTATACTATTGTATTCTATAGTGTATGCAGCACATTATTTAATTATTTATTATTCCTCTCATGTTCTCTGGGCCCTCAGCAGGCTTTCACCCAATTACAGAGTGACCCGCATAATGCTTTTTAGAGGCGCATTGTGTGTTGCCTACTTCTAATTTGAATTTTCATTGCAACATGGCCCCTGGGCTCGTATTGTTGCCATTGTCTTTATAAGGTCACTAGAAAAAGAGTCTGATCTTCCTCAGTTACTATACAGAAATCTGTAATGAACCATAAACAAATTCATATCTTTCAAAATCCTCATCTAGAGCACTCTAAAGCTAAGCCCTTAACAGAGCCGTCTAGACTTACATAACTTGGATGAGTGCATAAAGGGTTCATAGCATATGCATTCCAGATTTTCTGGAAATCGTCCGAAGGTTCTGGAAATCCTTCTAAACGCTTTTCAGAGCCATCGAAGAATCTTAGCGATTTGCTAGTTTCATAAAAAATGTTCCAAGACATTCTAGGGCCCCTCTTTTTTACCAAAGTGTGGATATACTTTCTATAGCTTCTGTCTTGTATGGAGCATTTCTTTTTTTTCTGTATTTTTAAATGGATGGCAATGCTGCGCTACCAACCTAACATACATTGGCATCTTGTATTGGCAGCAATATGTTTGTCTTCATGGTTCATTGAATTTTTGAGATATTTTTACAAAATCAAGAACCGAAAATTCTATGTAAAGCAAACAAGTTGTAAATCAGCATATGCATGATTAAAGCGCATTTTTGGTAATGCAGGTGAGTATTTTATTAGCGAAGTTTAAAATTATCGATCTCACGAGTAATTTTGGCTGCGTTAAATAATTAATTTTATTTAATTTCAATTGACGGTACGTCTTCATTTTGTAAAACAAATCACAAAGTAAATAATAAGTTTTTATACTGGTAGCGCTATCTAACGGTAAAATTATAGCACCTACGAAACCCATATCGAAATTATTTTCTTCAATTATCGATCTCATAAGTAATCTAACTCAAAATAGACTAGTGCCTGCACATCTACACTATAGCAGAAAGCTTTTAGTGAACATTTGAAGTCTCTAGCTATTGTAGTTGTGGAGATCTAACGCGGACAGCCGGCCTGCCAGCAATGACGAATATAATAGCGTATTTTTTTCAAAAATGCGCTAAAAATTCCATCCTTTTGTCTGTTGTGATTCCTGAAGAAACGACTGACCAAACAATCCATTTTGAACCTTAGGTTTTTAGGAAAAAAATTCTTGTTTTGGTCACTTCTACTACCCAGTCTTAACTGTTACACCCTGTATACCTTCAAATTGTAAAAACAAATGGAAAGTAAGCGTTTAAATTGAACAGAGTCCTCTAACCGACACAAATGAAATTTTCCAAGGTGAACTTTGTGAACGGAATATAAGAACTGGCGGTTACTAGGTACAGTGATGTGGACGTGAGCGTCGCAGTCTCCACCCCCACCGGCCTTATAACACCGATTATCTTCCGTGCCAATAGCAAAGGCATTAACACCATCAGTAAAGAAGTTAAGGAATTGGCGGGAAAAGCGCGCGAAGGCAAACTGCAGCCGGCCGAATTTCAAGGCGGCACAATCTCCGTATCCAATTTGGGAATGTACGGCGTGACCCACTTTACCGCCATCATTAATCCACCGCAGAGCGCGATTTTGGCAATCGGCGGTAATCAAACGCGTCTCATTCCGGATGACAATTCCGAAAAAGGGTAATCTATCGACAGAGTTTTATTTTTAAATAATCGCCCTTAATTTCAGCTTCAGGAAGGCGCACTTTATAAGTGTGACGTTAAGTAGTGATCACAGGGTGGTCGATGGCGCGAAAGCTGCCGAGTGGTTGGGCGTGTTCCGAGAGTACCTCGAAGATCCGGAGATGATGATCTTTTAGTTCAATCTACATTTAATTGTCGGTTCATTTTAAAAAAATTAAACTAAGGCTAAAGTTGGATAGATACGAAACCGTCTGCTTCATATACATATTTATTTACATTTTGTTTGCATTTTGCACTGTCTAGCCCTTTTAGAACAATTTTGTATATACTCTCGAATGGGATAATTATGCTGTTCAGCAGCTAAACTGAGTTGTAGACATCTGTAACTTATTTGTAAATAAAAGTAATTGTTTGATGTTTATCTTTTCCGTCAGTGAAATGTGAAATAGTAGTGTTTGTTAGCACGTTACCAGAGTTGTAACAGGTGGTTACTTTGCTATTTCAAAAATTTTATTTAGACTTTGTATTTTGGTAAATATAGGAAAATTTATACATATACCGCTTCATAGCGAACATGAACAAAAGTATCTCTGTAAATAAAAAGCGATAACAACGCGTACATTTTCGATATAAAAATAATAATGATAATTTAATTTAGACTTTCTAACTGTAGGTATAGGGCAAGTCCACATTAAATAGAAATACCCGTATATTGCATTTTCGGATTTTCCAGTAAATTCTAGACATGTTTCATTTAACTGTCCAATACCTAGCTATTAGTGGAATCCAAATAAAAATTTAATTAAAAGAAAAACAAATTTATAAATGATTAACATTCAATCACACCAGTGAGCGAAAGTGGCACCAACCTGGATGTGAAGTCAGTGGAACGGACGGACTCCAGCGCCATCAGTAGGAAAAAAGCCTTGCTTCTGGCAGAGCTCTGAGGTTTGGCACAATAGACAGACGGTTAAAGAAACGGCTTAGTCCAGAATTCGTCAGGTGGATACGTCCAGAGGTGACGCAACAAAGAATAAATTAATTAGCGGTAGCTACTGGAAATCTTTATAATTAGCGGAAGAAAGATAGCAAACGCTTTTACCTCTAAAAATAATGGTACGATATCGCAAAATGTACGAGAGTACAGCGAAAATTGCCAAAAAGTGATTACGTTCCAAAACATCAAAGCAAAAAGATCTTCTCTAAACTTTACTTTTATAAAATTCGTCCATACAATGGAGGGATCCAGCCGCACCGCGTATTCGTGTAATTGATCTTAAAATTTAACTCAATTAACCGCGCTTCTAATGAAACCACTCAGGACTGGTTCAAATGCGATTTACTGCAACTCATTTAATTAGCTACCGTTAATTACATTTTGTCAAGATAATAAGTTGATAATTGTGTAACACTGAATGGCCTTGCAGTCTTAATGTTCGTTTTGAATTAACATGGGAAATTAAAATCGTAGAGTAAAGACATTGTGGCAAAATTCGTACTACCCACTGATCCATGCTACTGGAGTTCTCCGAGTTATTCCTGCCATTAAAAAGTTAAACCAATATTTATTATATAAAATTTATATTTCACAGGACATTCTAAAATTAACAAATATAACAATAATATACACAATTATTGTATATCCACAAAATTGGATTGTAATAAATAATTAAAAATAGTAGGTAATAAATACTGTTGTGTCCGGTTAATAATGACTGTTGACTACTTTCGCCGTTTCACCTTCGATCTACCCTTTTTCTTTTTATGATTGCTTTCCTGTTTCTTTATACTTTTCGAATTTTTCGGTACCGGCAGCGCCCCGCCCGGCCTCTTCGGCGTTAGGAGGTGCTGTTCGACCAAGTCGGCCAATTTACCTTGTTCCGCCAGCATCGACAGAAACGTGCATACGAATTCGTCGTAATTGTGCGTACGTCTACAGTCGTCCACCCTGTACTTATTTTGCTTGTCGTTCTCGTCCTTTAGGCTAATTTCGCAGATACAAATTTCGTTCTCGAGATTTCGCAGTAAAGCTAGTAGGTCTTGGGGCGCGAACGTGTGCGGTTCCAGGAATTCTGGGTTCTTTTTTTCGGCGACGACAGTGTCTCCGTCGCTCGTACGCACGCGTGCGTGTCCGGTGTTCGACAGGCATTTCTTGTTACAGGTCGGCGCGGCCTCGTTAGTTTGACGTTTGCCGTTAATGTTCACTACTGAAATGCATTCTATTAGACCCATTAAATGACGTTCCAAGGTTCTTTAACTCCAAGTACGCTAGCGGAAAGAGGTGGGTCAAACAAGGTAGGTTTTTCGGGATAGTGAAGTATGTACCTAAGTTATTGAGATTCCTTTTGTAGGGTCCAGTAATGACGATTATGCTTGTCCGCCAGGAAAACACGCAAAGATAAATAATAATAAAAAATTTCTTTGTTGACTATAACTGTTAAAATTTGCTTTCATAAGTTATAATAAATACTTAAATAAAGAAATAAAAAAGACTGCGCAGGCGCGATCCTTTTCTTGACGTGTGTTTTCAATGTGCTTTTATACTAAGCATCTTCAGCTAAAATTTCAAAAAGGTGGTCCACAAATAAAAAAAATTAGATCTGCACATGCGCAATCAATATTTTGACTTGCGCGTCCATTTTCCAATTATTTGGAGTACGTACTTTCTGGTAAAATTTCGGAAAAATCCAGCTACACTTTAGAAAATCTGCACTGCGGAATCCATTTTGTACACGTTATTTCAATTTGACTTTATAAGAAGCATCTTAGGCTAGAAACGCACCGCACGCAACATTTTGTTTTGCAACGTTGCCAGACATTTTGTTGCGCAGTCGCAGTTTCCAATCCATTTTGTACACGATATTTCAATATTTAACCGTTATTATTATTATTTTGTTCTGTATAATAAAAATATAGACGACGTCATACTTCTATCCCCACTCCACCAAATGGTAGAAGGCGATAGACCTCATGCAGTCCGATTTGTCGCTGCATATGTTTCTTTCTTCATCCCATGCAAGCTGCAGAAATTGCGTCTAGCGATACGAGAAAGGGAGGGAGCCCTCTAATGTGATGTTTCTGTATATGAGTGGTTCAACTGTTCCCGTGGAGTACGTACCTAATACAGTCCGATTCTTCGGTGTATCTGTTGCCTGCTCGTCTCGTGCGGATCTTAGTTTCCTAATTACCATTTCCTCTATTTAAAATATGTTTTACTTGGGCAATAATCTACTTCAATCTGAATACTTGCAATTGGCATTCTCACATGTACGCTTCTTTTTGTACTAAATTGATTTATCATGTTTTCCACTTGCATTTATGAGGTCTCATTTACGTGTTTTTATGAATTGTTTAACTTAATAAACTGCATTTAATCCGATTACCTCATTTTTATCGTACAAGAGATGTTTTATTTGTGAATTTTTCTCATTTGCATTTTGTTGTTATTGATTTACATCATGTATTTTTGTGGGCGGTGCCGAGGATTTTGTCCCGTAGAAGGTTTCCCTGGCATTGCCTTGTTGTATGCGTAATATATTTATTTGTTCTTATCTTTTATTGAGCACAAAATTCTGCATTTTATTCAATTCCCCTCCCGATTATGTCTCATGTCCCAACACAGACAAGAACCGATTACACAACGTAGAAGTTCATTCATACCCTTCATATTGAGCGGCCTGCTAACGAGTTTCAAAAGTACCAGGAAACGTCTATAGTTTCAACTTGAAAGTTAGGTCGCTCTGCTGGTAGTTTTCCCCTTTTTCCCATGCAACACTTTACGTAAAGGAATCTTTGATGGGAAGAGGATCTAAGGATGCTACTTTTACTACACTTACTTGGTTTGGAAAGATCCTTATCTTCATTTGCGACTCGAATGACGACAAACCTTTTAAAGTCCTTCGAAAGGGGACTGTTTTGAGAAGCAGCCCAATTCCACGCTTGGGTTGGCGAATTAAATGCGGATCCCACTTCTGACGATGTATCCGTACTCGAGGTACTTGGTGCGGGAGATGTCTGAATGGTGAGGGGCGTTGAGTAGTCCAAAGGGCAGAGCATCACCTTATCTTTCTTTGGTTCCGCATTCATTTTTTCAATCGTCGACGTTACAGACGGTTCAACAACGTTAGGAATCTGAGCCGACTCATCTTCATTACCCGCTTCTTTTTTAGGTTTAGCCTCGGGCTCCTCCTTTTCGCATTTGTCGACATGCTTAATCTTCATCAGCTGCTGTAACGCGTCTAGAACGATCTGCTTGTTGGTTTTTAACATTTTCAGCTTGTGTGTGATGGCCAATCGACGATCGGGTACGACAGCCATTAAATTAAATCTAATGTCGTGGTATTGCTCGCCCGCTGAAATTCCCAGACGTTCGCTCATGACACTTCTGAATTTCTCCGTCCAATCGCCTACATCGTTCCAGGGGCCGTGATCAATGGGAAACGGCTTCAAGCCGTCCAATTCGAAGAGTCTGCCGTTTATAGGTACAAAGCTAACAAAATGGAAGGCTTCCCCGGTAAATCGACCAGTTGTAACACCACTACCTAAAATGATAGTTTTAAAAACAGTCCATATAAAACAACACAGTTTTACTTTTGTCCAATCTCCTTTTTGCCTGAGGTATCGCATGCGAATTGTGTGCACAAGCTAGTTCTGGAGTATTTCCAATAGCCCACCCTTTATTTTCCGGAGACATGCCGTGCGTGTGAGTCTTTAGTCTACTTAAAGTTTCTCCCAGATGTATATTGGGGCAATTTAGTAAAATAGAAATAAGAGCGTGTGTGGCACAACTATTGGGTACCATTTGCTGGGCAAAAAATATGTTATTCACGATATCTTCTTCTTTTACAAATATTTCGGTTTGTTCTACGATTTTACGTCTTGATCTGCGTTCTTCAATCCAACGAAATAGGAATATGAAGCCATAAACGGGACTGTCTAAGGGTTTATGTAAATCATAAATTTCTTCGACTTGTACACCTTTTACACCAAAGTCTTCTAAAAGTAAGGTAAATAAACCTGGGTCGCTTTCTAACTCAAGCCAGCCTTCAGTCAATTCTTTTATATCAACGGGCATTTTTACGTAAACTATATAAAAATAAAGTATATAATTTAAAAAGCTGTGTATAATTTTTCAGTTACAATAAAATTTGAGGTTATGTTTGTAGTAGTTCAGAATATTGTTTGGTACTTGATTTAGAAGTTTACTTTAGAACTATTACAGTCCCAATAGAACTACAGCTCATAATGCTCTCGCCAAACATTTCCAAATTGAAAATGGTGTATTTTTGGAGGGAAATCCACCAATATGTTTCGCTTTAGACTAAAATAGGCCTCCATAATAAGCACTTTTTTTATCCTTGACAAATAACCAACTATTATAGAACAGAACAATTTGCATTATGTGCATAGTTAGTAGCTTGAGTACTTAAATGATGGGACCGCATAGTCTTTTATTTCAATGATGCAGACATTGAATTTATGACTAAATATCAAATTCAATGATGCAGAGTAACTTGTATGATGAATGACAACTTGCGAATAACGTATGTTTGTATAAGAAATGGTCTTGTAGATCATTTGATTGGATATCTGAAATGTCATCAGATGTTGAAGAGGTTATGTCGAAAATGTTTACCTAAAAACCTAAATAAAATAATGGAAAAAGTACAAATAAAGATACTTTTGGTTGAATGTATGACATTTTGCTCTGTTTTTAGACCTAGAACTTATAAAAACCCGTCAAATGCGTTCATCAGTTAGTTACATCCTTTCGAGTACAACATCAGAACCAAACATGTCGCATCCCGATTATGATCAATACTCACACGATCATGCCTCTCTGTTAATACTAGTGAAGCAAATAGGTCCATACTTAAAGATGAAAACGTTTAATAAATTTTACGATCGTATAACTCGGCTAGGTAACGTTAAGATAACCGATTCGACCGGTCAAGTTCGTAACATCTTGGTACGTTACGTCAAGGAGCATCCTGTTGAAAATAACGACTGGGGCGATTTTCAAACGCACCGTCGCTTGCTGGGATTGGTGTCGCTGGGCAAGTACGACTCGCAACAGGAGCTAAACGAAATTTGTCGTGTTCACGAAAGCTTGAAAGTGAAGTACACCAGCACGTTGTACGATTCGAGATGCATACTGTTTGGAATTACGGATGAAAGAGAATATCCGCCGAGTGATAACAGTAGCCCTGAAGAGGAAAGTGTGAAGAGTGTGCAGGAAGATAACACGAGTTCACCTGAGGAGGGTGCTACAGTTCGAGAAAAGTTTACAACCCCCACGAATTTTAAGACGAGAGCGCTATTTTATAATGAATCAGATCCGTGTACCGATTTAGAGAATCAGTTGACCGAATTTATTAACTCTCTGTTTTGGGTGTTGGAGTCGAAACGATTGGAACGGTCGAGGGAGAAGTTGGAGCGGGTGTCGTTGTTGTTAGCCCCCTTCGAGAAGAAAGATTTTGTTGGTTTAGATATGGATTCGCGTAATAATAAAAAACGTTGCACAGGTCGCATGACTAAACATTTGGGCGATCTGTGTCTACAGGCTGGTCTGCTAGCCGAAAGCATTGCGTATTACCATAGTGCTGCTGAGACTTTAAAGTCGGTCAACGATTGGTTATGGTTGGGGGCCGCCTTTGAGGGGCTTTGTGCCGCATCTGCTTTAGTATTATACCCCAATATACAGCGCACTGTTTCGCTGCATCGAAATGCAAGTCTACAAGAAGGCTCGCCTAAGCGTTCCAACTCGATTACCACAACGGTCGGAATTGTCAGACGTGACATTGTCAACATGCTTCCCCCGGACGAAATTTCTAAAAAGTACCGGGAAGCAATCATCCATTACAGCAAATACCAAAATGCGGGCATCGTCGAGACCGAGGCCAGTTTCAAGGCGGCGCGAATATCGGTCGAACAGAGCCACTCGTTGCAGGCGGCCAGCTTTCTGCAGAACGTCGTTTTCATTAACCTAACACTGTCCGAGCAGGAGAAGATACAGAGATTTGAAAAGTTGTCGGATTTATACTTGCAAATCGGGTTTACGAGGAAGGCGGCGTTTTGTCAAAGATTGGCCGCCACCAGGCACGTTTCCCCGCAAAATCCGACGCCGAACTGGAACAAATGTTACACTTTGATATTGCAAAGTTTTCCCGGTCACAAAATCACATTGGATCCTACGGAAATGTGTCACGATAATCAACAAAGTGGTAAGTGTTGTTGATGTAAAGGAAACCTGATGGCAGCATAATAAAAGGTGGATCTTGTTGGATGCATGCGCAAAAGTAACTCATATTTATGCACCAATCTTGCTCAAATTTTAAATCGGTCAATTATATTAAACACGTCAAAACTGCTTTAGCGCATGTTGCCAAAAATTACAAATGGTTGAAAGGACGGTCGACACCAAATCGCTAATTCTTTTAACACAGTATTATCTCACAAAATCTAAAAACACCCTGCGGTAATTCATAGGGTGTTTAATTTAACCGCTCGCGGCTTGACGCATATTGGCCCACGACTTAATTTCAATTCTCCACAAATTATAAAACCACCCCGCGCAATCTTTCAGGTGGTTGACTTAAACTTTTTTAATAGCTAGACGTGAACACTCTCGTGGCTTAACACGCATTGCCTCACGACACTCTGCCAACAACCTATTTCCCACTACTTTTATTTTCAAATCACATCCATTCTGGAACGTACAACCTTCTCCACTAATGAAAATCATGTTTTTCAAGGAAATTTCTTGACAACTTTTTCCGCACGGATTCAGAAAAAACCGCTATGCAGCAAGTTGGATAACCACGGATGAAATATAAGCAAAATCCCCCTGTAATTTGAACTAACTACGCCATATTTCACGACTTACATACCGGTGCCTCAAGCTTTCGCACGCAAAACAGAGGTGTATTCAGGACTCACTCGCCCACATAAAAAATCGGAAAATTGTAGGAAATCTCTCCACGTACACTTCCGGCATCTGCCACAAAGAAAAATTCCAGTATTGACTTATTAAATTCGTCATTTTAAGCTTAGATCAGCTTCTGAAAATTCCAAAGGAGTAACTACACACATTTTCATTAACACAAATCTTGGACACGAGAAGAAAAATCTGCCATGATATTCTATTCGGGTCACACAATGGATTCGATAAACACAATTAATTAATTGACAATGACAAAATTTTATTCCGAAAAACATGAAAATAACATTAAACAAAATTCCTGAATTGAAGAGATGCTTACAAAGCTTGTTTTTACATACGTACCCCGTATGCAGACGGTCGATAGTGAAGAAAATTAAAAAATTTTAAATTAGTTTTTTTTCTTTGTTTATAGTGCTAATAATCTCTGGTCATTCAACAGCGATAAACAAGGCGCACATAACTCCACACACAAACTCTGACCGGTTCTGAACTTCACTTTTTCGTAGCACACAAATTTTGATGACAAGCAACATATGAATGAAATGACGAATTGCCGGCTTTTCAGACGGTATAAACTTTTAACTTAGTAAGAGAAAATTGACAGAAGGCCTCACGATGCAATAAACTGAATTCTCTTTCAACGGACACCGCGCGTTGAACTTCTTACAGCTTTGTAACAGCTTTTTTTATGTACAGAGATATGATAAAAATGACGAATTGCGTCTTCAATCAATCAAATCGGGCGGATAGTCCTGAATAAATAGCGGAATGAAACGTACGCTTTCCGACCGTCGCGAACCAGCTCTCTGGCAGTCTTCTACTATTTAACGAAACACCACTTTCATAATAAAATAAATCTCTTTATTCCGATTTCCACAAATAAATCGTATATCATAATTTATTAAATAACATCAGCTGCGAAGGAACGCGTCCCACTTACGCCAAGAATAAAGCGCGCATCGTTGACCACTTACATAACCCGCTATCTCTTCTCACAGCGACTAAGAACGCGTGCAATAATTAACTCCCCTCCGATAACAATCGACCGGATGTGCCTACATTTTAACACACAATTTCACGTTATACAATTAAATAAACAAATCTAAATAGACTATACGCAATTACAAACAATTCTAAAAGGAAAAATAACACTACAGAAACACAAACTTAAATGAAATACACCAATTCTGGGGTCCGTTAACTTGGCCCCCCCACTGAGAGATTTGATTGTCGTATTATTTTAAAATGAATGCGCTCGTTATGCGCTCATATGCGCCACCGATAATAACTCTTGCGCCATTATCGTTTTTTAGAAATCCGAAAAAACATTGGGGGGGCCAAGTGAACGTAGCCCCCCCCCCCAGTACGTATTTTGTCCCTTGTAACTAGGTCACCTGATACATTTGGTTATGCGCTCAATTGCGCCACTTGAATTAAAGCTAGCGCCATTACGGTTAAGCCATAAAATTTTTTTTAAAAGTGGAGGGTCTAACTTAGCGTTTTCAAAAGTTACGTTTTTTAACATGTTTTTTCTACTACATCGTACCTTTCATCATGCGCTAAAATGAGCCGTAAACATAAATCTTTGCGCATTATAGTTTTTGAGAACCTTTTTTAGTACCTATAGAACTATAACGCTATTCATTTTAAGAAGGTAGCGGTAGAAAGCATAGGGACAGTTTAACCTTCACTGTGATTGGTTAAAACACGAGTCACTATTACCCTGAAAAATAAAACGAGTGACGAATTCTGTCTGTTAGAAGTTTCAATTACGAACTAAACTGTCGAACTGTCATTAGCTGTCAATTTCAAAGATCCAAGCGTGATATCGTTTGATTCATAATTATATTTTCCAAATATTGTGCCGTTTTATATTTTTCCTGTGTGTGTCGATCTTCAAACACAAACACTACTACCTTCTTTGAAAATTGGTACACATGTTCTTAAGGATATAAGAAAGATTGCTATTGTTTTTTAGTTACGTAGACTAACGGGCCAAACAGTTACAGCCCAAAAACTGCTCGAACCCTCAAAGAATGGTATCTTTTATAATAAATTCTTGTTACAAAGAACATATAAATGCCCGGTTTTCTGTGTCAGTAAATATTCATTAAACCTCAAACAATTTTGAAGATGAAAAAATAATATTGCGCATGCACAATCTAATTTTTGTATTTGTTAAGATATTTAAATGAAATTGTATGTACGCACCTCGAACAAAAGTAAAAGTAATGCTAATGGGAATGCGGAGAAGTCAAAGAGGCTAGTGGCGCATATGAGCGCATAACGAGCGCATTCATTTTAAAATAATACGACTATCAAATCTCTCAGTGGGGGGGCCAAGTTAACGGACCCCCAATTCTGTGGTTACTCGTAAATAAACCCCTCAGATTTATGTTACTAAATTGAAACACTTCTCATAAACAGGATGTCCCGTCATTAGTTTCATCAGCTTGTCAAACGGTTAATTAAAACAGGATCTCATAATGTCCATCTACTCAACTACTTTAGTCCTACCAAGCTAAAACTTCTGATCTAGGTTGGCCGGCTCTACAAATCCAACTCCTTCAAGAACTTGTGGTTGCCGCAAAACGTATGGGCCATTCCGCTCTAGCAACCAGACACATGACATTCCTCTTACAAACCATGTGGGAACACCTATCGGCTTCGGAACAGAAAGAATTAGCAATCCAATTACAGGTTCACTTCCAATCGATATAGCGATTTAATAATAACATTCACATTACAGTCGCTATCGTCACAGTGCGAGGGCGCACCGGTACCGTTAGTATTAGACAGCGGAATAGTAATTCCGCCGGCGAATTTAAGCAACGTGCCCGTCTGCTTAGGTTTCGGTCTACGAAATTTACAGCCGCACCTGCAGCCTCGCAAAATTGAAACGTTCAAGCAGGATATTGGACCGTTTCTATTTACGCCTATTAAATTCGGCACGCTCGAGCGTACGAGTAATAAGCCACAAAGTAAAATGGGTAAGTAAGTGAATACAAACACACATGGACTCGCTCTATTGAGTGTTTAAAATAGTAGATTTTCTAGGAGACAGGTTTTTTTATTATGACATATGAGCTTGGATTTAAGTAAACATTAGGACACCCGAACCCACAATTCATGTACTAAATGGTGGGCCCCACTCAGCTGCGAAAATTTTCATATGTACTGCTTCACGTGAATAAATCTCTAGTAGCTTTAATAGCGACAGCCAGACGGCTTTGGGTAGCGCAGGCTGCGATAAAAACAGACGTGAGTCGTCAAATTTGCGTTGGTTCCGTTTCGGGTTTTTACGTTTTAGCAACGATTAGAGATAAGAATTGTTTCGGTTGTTGGAAGAGCGTGGCGGAAGCGGCCGAAGGGTTGCGGGCGCTAACAAAAGTCAAGAAAGTTAAGGGTCGGCAATATAAATAAAGCAAAATCATTCCGAGCGGAACGTTAAATTATCGCGGCGAGCGGAACGAAGAAATCGGTTTTTT